CCAATCCCCCAAAGTTTGTGGTTAATGGATTACAAATTTGGGTAATGCTGGACAATAAATTATAACTATAATAATAAAGTTGAAAGTACACACAATTGAAGCAGAAAGACCCATGTTTTTTACTGCAAATGAAAGAAACCATTGATCATAGCAACTGTCTGAGATTAGCAGGGAGCCACATTTTCAAACATCCTGCAGTAAATCCAGAGCAGATCCAGCTGGAAAGCAAGAGTGGAAATAAAACTTGAAAATTCATACCATGCTTTGAAGTCTGCCCTCTTCACAACCATGAGTCCCTGATTTGTCCCCACCATTCTGAGCTGTTTCTGCTGGCTGAATTTATTTTAAAAGAGACACAAGCCACGCACTTGCAAATAATCTTTCAAATGGACTCCAGCTTTTTGCAAGGATGGTTTGTTAGGGAATATGAAACCCAAAATATTTTCTTTTACACATGAAATCAGCCATCAGTTCAACCAGAATAGAAAAGTTTCCAATACTAAAACAAGAAACCGTTCTTGGTTCTAGTAAATACAACTTTTTCTCTTGTGTTCGTCCCATGACCCATCCAGGCACTTTTCATTTTTAGTTTTTAAGGCTATTTTCCACCGACAACTATTGATACAGATAAGAGGATATTAACATGCCACCTGAGGCTCCTAAAATGAGCAGTGTCACTGCACTTAAGTAACTGCTATCCCAATAAATCATCAGAGGAAAGAAAGGCAATGGCTGAGGTTGAGCAGAGCTTCAGTCTTGCTCAGGGCCTACTGTCACCATATGTCATCCTCACCTGTCAACTGTGCCGGGGTGGACAGGGGCTCAGCCAGACCTTCTGCTCAAATCTCAGGTGACTTCCGAATAGGGTATGGTGTCTGAGGCCAGCTGGACTGTTAGACCCCTTCTCTACTGATCATCAGGGGCAAAGAGATGTTCTCTATGACCAAGATCCAATCATCCTTAGTGTCTTCGATGACCACCAGGAAGAACTGCCAAGGGCACCTAAGAAACACGTCCGTGGCCACAGAACAGCCGCAATAACCTAGTGAGTAATCAGTCCCTGAACTCCATAACCTGTCAACAGAACAAAAAACTGCAGCAGAAAATACTTTGACTCAAAGTGCCTGGTCGAGAACAATGTAGATCATCAAGTCAAAAGTCCTGATTACTGCCCTCGGGTTCACAATAGAACTCTGGTCAATCTGCATTAAGTCTCGACCGTTCCATTCTCCCACCAGAATGAATAATGTTTGTGAAAGGCAGGCTGAAAATGGACAAGCACACTGCACCTATGAGGAGTTATTTTAACTAAATAGGACAAATTCAACGTGCCCTCTCGTTCCTGCTCCAGGCACAAAGCCGTGGGGCAGGAGAACGGCAGGAGAGTTCTTTGGGGTCCACGACTCCCTTCTTTGGCTCTCCCACCTGGGGGCTGGATAATTCACCAGCGGAATGAATCCTCAAAGAGAATCAAACCATGGACCCGAGCAGTGAACGTGGGTCTACACGATCCAAGCAACAACCCAGCCACAGATTTAATAAGGGAAAAAAGCCCCTGCAACACAAAAACAAAGAACACTCAACTTTACAAACGCTGGGAGGGCAACAGCTGGTCAGCCGAGATGAAAGGAGCGTGAGAGAACACCTCCCCAGCTCCCGACACCCCCTCCCGCGGAGAGGTCCCTGCAGCCGGCCCGGCTCGCTTCTACAGCCCCGTGCAGATGACCTTGTTCCAGCTAAGACAGGAGCTCTTTTGATCTCAGCAGGGGGATGCTCTGGGCCTGCAGCTGGCAGATATTAATAGTACAGGATCCGCTGGGGTGGAAGAGATCTCTCAGTTGGGCCAGGTCACTTGTAGTCCCTGTTCTGCGTCAGAGAAGAAGGGACTTCATTTCCCTGACTCAGCCCCTGCTGGGGACTTCTCTCAGGTCACCTCAGATCATTTGATCACTGGCTGCTCCCAGGCGCTTGTTCTCACCCCACAGCTGTTTTCAAGGGAGCACTGTTTAAGCAGTGCCCTCTGCTCTGCAGCTGAAGTCTATTACAGGACAGGGTGAACCTCAGGCTCAGACCATCTCACAGTGTGTTGCTCACTCTCACCGGCTTGCACACACTTCTTGTGTGCACGTTTGTGTGGGAGAGAGGCAGAGAGAGCAAGGGACAAGAGGCAGACAAGAGCAGAAGCATTTACAGAGTGAGACAGAGCCAGCAATAGGGGGAGAGGAGGCTGCTACAGGCACGCCACAGTATCAAAGCAAAGATTTCTGACGGTGTTTTCTATTATGTATAATCTAGGACCACAAGGTCACTCTTCTCACTCTGTAAATCAGAAATTTAAAATCCCATCAATGAGTGAACGCTCCGGATCTTCAGACCTGCATCACGATCTTATAGTGTTAGAGCTAGAAAAGGCTTTAGCCATCTTATGTTCATCTAATCTGTCATTTAAGAGAAAAAAACTGAGGCCCAAAGTGATGAAGAGACCTGGCCAAGATCACAGAGCTAATAACACAGTGGCAAAGTCCATCCGACAAACGCTTAAAACAACGACAAAGGCAATTTATGCATTTTAATCAGGGTGGCATTAACAACCATTGCAATACATTTGAATAGGTATAAATGTTCTAAGAAATTCACTCATTTTCATTCACTGGTAAGAAACTTCATCATAGACTTCAGGAAAAAAATATTTCTATAGCCTCTACCTGCTTAGCTATGCAAGGAAAAGATCTAGAAATATCACTTTCTTCCATTCTCACTTGGATTTCATAATTTAAAAAAGCTGCCTAAGGACGAGCTGGTCAGACTCCCTTTGCCGTGAACATGACTTTACCATTTTCTTGAAGCTGTTACACTGGAGCCCAAAGCAATTCCCTTTGTATCTGTTTTGCTCCTTTCCTTTGCTTGGGATAAACCAGGAAGCCAGGACAAGGAAACACACTCTTACTGGTTTTCAGACAGGGAAACAAGCTATTCTCTACCAGTCCCCTCCTCAGAACTGAATAAATGTGCATGTGTCATAAGTACAAGAACAATTTTTACCCACATTAATAGGTGCTTTATGTGACTCTCATGGCTAACTGTTCTTGTAAAGCATTTACTATAGTATTGGTTCAGCATTTCTTTACTGCCTACGATGTGCCTAGAACTTGGCTGGTCACTCAGGCACAAGAGACATACAAAAAGAATACAAGACAGCTTGTGTCCTTCAAAAAATCTGCCAACCCATTTAACCATGAAAAGTTAAATTATTTTTTGAGAACTTTTCTTTCTATTGCTGATCCGGCAGAAGGACCACAGAGGAGGAAGAGTGAGACCGAGGCCGACTGGACCAGGCGAGGAGGACTAGTCGGACAGGTGGTCTGTAAATAAACCTGGAAGGAGTCGGGGGATTTGAGAAGAAAAGCAGCAGTACAAGTGAAAAGGGGAGTGCTATTCTAGAAGGGTGAGCTGTCTCTGCAGAGGCAGGGTGGCAGGGGTCGGAAGGGCAGGCAGAGTCGGCAGGCTGGGTGGAGGAGCTTCAAGGAGGGTGAAAAGGAAGGAAAGGGCAAGCTATGAAGAGTGAAGAAGCATCAACTTGATCTAGTGCTTTTCTGGGAAACAGATCCACACAAAAGTAAAGTAAATTTTTAGTCTTTGCTGATTTCCATTGTGTAAATACTTCCACCCTGACTGATTTCAGCCTAACAAACCACAAATTCCTGAGTATTTTTAAATCAGCTTATTGACTTTAGTCCATTCTCAGTAAATGAGCTAAAACAATTTCAAGATTTCTGAGTAGGAGAGTGACACAGGAAAAGGAAGCCAGAAATGGGGAAGCTGAATTTGGTAGTGGCAGAATGTACATGGTAGACGCTGGAGTTGGGAGGGCCATTTGGGAATTTATTAAAATAATATGATTGTGAGTTTTACAATACAATTTGAAAAAAAGAGAGGCCAGAGGAAAGATATATTTGGAAAGAAGAACCAAGCAGACTTGATGACAAAAAGTGTGGAGAGACAGGTAACAGATGATACAGGTTTTCAGCCCAGGTGATGGGGAATGACAATGCATCATTGAATGTAGAAATAGGGTACACAGGGCATTCTACAGTTTTCATAAATAAATAATTTGTTTTCACTCTGAAAAACACCACTGAGAAGCAGCGATGTGGTCCTTGGAATTTCTGAGACCATAAACCAATGTTAATCTGTGGAAATCTGCCAGGGCAGTCAGGAGCCTTGCTAGGCCTAGAGGTCCTGCATAGTCCATCATGAATAATTCTCAGAAAATGGAAAGTGCAGAGGGGCCCGGAACAGCTGTGCTCATCTACCCAGGCCCACGGCATTCTGCCCTGAAAGAAATTAAACTACAGCTAGCAGAACTCAGAAATGTCAAGTGAGAACTTTCAATAAAACTAGAAACCACCCACTGGCTTGGTGGTGTAATTCCCCTAGCTACGTAAACCAGAGCCTGTCTGACCTTTGCTAGCATGGGAGGGTGGAGAAAATTTTGCAGATTTACCTACGTGGAGAGTTTTTTTTTAATCTTTCTGTAAAGCTGACTGGGAACTCCACATCCCCAGCACATGATCCTGGCGCACACTTCTAGCCAGTCCACAAGTAGCCGGCACAAACAAAAGGCTAACCTGCTGTTGGGTAAAGCCAACATCTGAGCGTCAGCCTCAAAAACAAAGTCCTTTAGCAGTTTGCCAGTCCTCATACTCAGGACCCAGAACAACCTACAGAGGAGTGACAAGCCTCAGGTGGAGGTGATGGATGCCTGGGAAGATGACTCACTCAGGCGAAAAAGGAAGCTCACTTACAGAGACAGGGCAAGAGACTCCAAATACAAGGGATCAGATGCCGGGAAAGGTGGCCAAGCCTACATCACCAGGCTCCGGCTGGGTTCACTGGCCAGGGCCTATTAGCTGTGTGTCTCTGCTCTCAACAGGAGGCAGAGAGGCGGTGGGGCTGTATGTCAGTGTCAAGTTTCAGCCCCTCTAGGACAGATCCCTTACCTTTAGACGGGGACAAATCATCAGCTGGAGACACCAGGTCTGCCTGAGAAGCTAGGGCTCCGCTCAGATGGGTTGTAATTTGATTCGTCAAGATAACCTGTGAACAGACAAGGAGAAGGCAGAGGGAAGGGAGAAGAGAGAAGCCCAAATTAATTATTAGAGCTATAAAAGGCAGACTGTGGTTTAGGGGAAGACTGGTAAGTACTCAGGTAGGAAAACCCCAGCTCTGACTTTCATCAAGTTTATCTTTAGGCCAGAATATCTGGCAAAGCCTCGAAGTCATTCAAATCGCAGAAAACTGAGGAAACAGACTGTTTTCAGAGCTTAAACCACTATTCAATTCTTTCTAAATGCTGAGTACATTGGGACTGAGAGGTGTTGCCATATTAGGTGAATAATATAGATGGCTTAATCAGAGACTTAAGATGCATTCGTATTTTTAAGATTATGTTCAGAACATACAATACTACTAGTGCTGAAGACAGTATAATTTAATATTTGGATGCCTGGGGCAAGTTCCCTTGTTAACACAAAACTTCAGAGCTTTATTTCCAAATTTGTGAAATTGGAACAAAATTCATCTCTAAAGGAACAGGACTCTTCCTCCTAATAAAATGAATTCTAACAAAAGAATTCCAAAGTCTCATTATGAAATTAAAACACAAATTAATAGAATCCCATCTATACAAAATAAAGTTCACAACATTTAAAATTCCTAGAAAGGACTCTAAAGAGCATTTAATTCACACGGTTTTTAATTTCCCCATTATATTTCTTCATTTGGTTCCATCAAGAAACTACTCCTTAAAAATCCTCATTTATAAGATTTACTCTATTGTTTAGAAACCTCAAGGAAGAATGAAACATGGAATTTCTCTCGGAAAACTGCAGCATGACTAAGACCACAATCATTTCCCAAGGTCTGGGTGTTCCCATCATGGGCATCTTAGAGAGTCATCTTGGTCCCTCAGAGGAACCGTAACTTCTGAAGAACTAGGCATTTAGTACCTGGAATGTGCATCTACCTAGACCGTCTTGGTCTGTCCTAGGGTCAGCTATGGTTTTGTTGCCACCCTGATTTAAGCAGAAGTGGAAATCATCTCCATTCTTTATTGTCCAGCTTTTCAGCCACACCTCTGTCACCGTCTCTTGAATGGACCAATGACATGTTATAAATCCTATACCAATGGCAGCTTAATTGAGGGCAGAGAGGGGCACAGGAATGGCAAGGTCAGGTAAAGAAATGAAGTCCTTTATTAGCAAAGATGGCCTGTCCAAGGTCTTTGTGAGTCTCCAGCTACTCTGCAGCGATGGCCACATATCACAGTACTCCACTGAGTATGTGCTAATCTTATCCCTCATTTTCATCTGGACTAGTAAGAACCACATATGATATGTCAGTTAAAATGGCTGGAAATGGCCAAATAATAGCCTGTTCCTTTAAGAAACAGATATTCATATTCAGGAGCATGAATAAGGAATTATGTTCATTTTCCTCTTTATTATATAGGGTATGGGCTTTGGAGTTATTGCAATAAAACTGAATTCAAATTCTGACTCTTGACACTACGAACACCTTGGGAAAGTTACTTAAACCTTTGAGTGTCATCCATTCCTATCTTACAGAATTGTTACGAGAATTGAATAAGATCATTGATGTAAGGTATTTAATATAGTGTCTGGCACATGGTAAATATCCAATAAATGGAAGCCATTGTTGTTGCCATTATTTCCTTCAGAAGGATGTTATATAGGTTCATGAATTATAAATACAGAACATACAACATGCTTCAGACAACTGGATCTAGTAACTCAACATGAAGTCACAATTTTTGACATCAGAATACATACTTCAGTACCTGCCTACCAATCATGTCCTTCCTGAGTTTTACTTAACTGCAAAGAATCTGTGTAAAAATCTCAGTTAAGAAAAAGACAGTAATTATTTAAAGCAAGGCCAATAAGAACCTTGCAGTGTTCTGAGGATACGATGTGATTTTTCCACCAATAAAGAAAATAACGTTTCCGTCTCACGGTTTGAAAAAAAAGTGAAGCTTCTGAGAGATCCGGATGTATAAGCTCTATCTTTTAGGGGAATTCTTCTAAAAGGTGGCTTGGTGAAAAGGAGCAGAACATTAATGACACGGTAACAGTAATGAGAAAAACAGTACTGAACACCTACCATGCAAAGCACGTCCCCATATACAGAGGGGAGAATATGGAGGCGAAGGCTCTGTGTGTCCTCTCTAGAAACTTGCAAGTTAAAGACAAGTATTTACTAAGATATCCAGACCACTTTTTCTCAATTGTATTATTATTTCACTGACCCTAAAATGGAAGTTTGTACTGAGATGATGGTTTTATTGTACATAACTAATAAAATGATACCCTACAGAGCCCAAAACCAAATCACAGATGTGCTTCCAAAGATACCCAACCCCAGTGCCACTTCAGTGGAAGAGGAGATGGAGAAGAAAACACTTGCAGTCTCCAATGGCAAAAAAACAAGCTCCTAAGTGGTTCTGCTAATAATCCACTCCCTTTTTGTTATGAGTCCGAAAGCCAAATCACTGAAGGGACACATAGCAACCAAACTCAGGGGGTTGCTCTCATCGAACTGCTGTGATTTTCTAAATCTGTGTTCAACAAAATGATAGAATGGAAACATTTCCAAATAGCATCGATTACAAATAGTCATGACTTGGGCAGAAGCCTATAGGTGTGTTGTCCTCTGAGGCATCCTGGGGCCTTGGAAACTGCACTCCTAAGATAACCGATCAAATACTTTTACACATTATAAACACAGTCTTAACACTATCTGCTTTCCGAAAATGAGTTCTGACTGTCACTTCAGAGCGGCTTTGCTGCTGCTCTGCTCCACTGGAAAGATTAAGGCTTCTGAAGCTTGGTACTAACTTCGTGTAAGAGCAGGTGCACACTGATTAGGCTAAGGGCTTTGGAGTCAGACAGACCTGAGTTCACATCCTGGGTTCCAACACTTACTGTGTGATGCTGGGTAAGTTTCACAATCTCTCTGGGTGTAATTCTTAACTCACAGGATTCTGAGGATTAAACTGGATAATGCATGTATAGTCCCGAGCATGGTAAACACTTAAATGTTAACCCCCATCCTCGTCTTTATTTATCCTTTGCTGATTTATACCTTGCTTGTTTAGACAGAAAACTCATGCCTGATTCCCTTTTGTACAACATATAGTACACTGATGACACAGAACAAATATTTGCTGGTGATATGCTCAAAAAGCAATAAAAATTTAATTGAAAGTGCATCTGCTATTTCTGCCATTTCTCTAAAAGTATGACTTATTAAAACATATGACCCCCCTCCACTACCATTAATTACAAATCCAAAGGCCGGAGTGAGATTCTTGGACTAAGGGGAAGTTTGTTTTTGTTTTGGACAGTTGTAATTACATCTGAAGCCAGGAGCAAATGGAATCCAGCTTAAAGTTTACCCTTCAGGCAAGAGAACACCATCCACCTACTGGGGGAAATAGGCAGCCCTATCAGTTGCAGAAAGTAGTATCTCCACTCAACTTTACATACGGAGAGACCCAGGGCTTACTCCCAGGGCTTCCTTGCAATGCCCTCTTGGTTGTAGGATGCTTCAGGTACACGTGAGTAAGAAATGACTCCTCATATCATGTCATATAGACCTTCAGTCTCATTTTTAGTGCTCCCCTCAAGGCAAAATGGGGAGGGGCACGGAGATTTCTCCTTTCAAAGACCATTCCCCTGGAGTCCAAGTTTCCCTTGCATCATCCAACTTCTCTAAATGCATCCAGCTTGAACTTTCTGTGTACTGTAGTTCAACACATAGGCTCAATTTGAGGGAACAATGAAGCTCTCTAAAGAAGAAACTTCAGAGTACAGACTCATAAATAACCCAGTAGACCCTGCCTTCACGGAACGCAGAACTTACAAGCTAGAGAAAAGAGATGGAGAAACAGGAACGATTAAACCTGATGAACCAGGAAGGCAGATGGCTGGGAATGAAGGTCATTTTGGTCGCAAGTCAGAAGGTCCTGGGCATGAAAAACCCATCAACCCACGAACAAAGATATGATTCCTTTCCACTAAGTATCAAAAAGGTAGTTCTGGAAGCAAATATCTAGAGAGAAGAGGGTAGGGGCAGGATAAGCGGGTCAGAAGAACCATCAGCCCCAAGGGTCAGGGGCCCAGTGAGCTGAAGTCCACTGACCAATCGAGCCTGACTCTCCACTAGTCTGTGTCTGATGTGTTGGCTCACCTTTCTTCAGCTACGCTAGGACTAGGCTAATCTAGGCTCTACCCACGTCCCACTCATGCCTCCTGTTCCTGATCCAGAGTAAATTCTCCCTTAAGGGGCCTCTGTGTGTGTCTAGTCTGATCTACCTTACACTGAAGTATGAACGAAGCATCTTTGTTAGGACCTCCATGAGCAGCCACTTGGTATACTCCACCCACAGTGAGCACTGGAAAATGGTGGAGTGGACAGAAGAGAAAGTGGAACAGCCCTGGACACATCAGAGTGGACAACTGTCAGAACTAAAGGTACAGCCTTTGACAAAGAAGCTCCTTTAGTTTGACTCTTGGAAGGTGACAAACGGAGTTTGCTGTTAGCCAGGAATAGAGTAGGTTGGAATGGGGTATCTGGCTCTGTCTGGTCAGCAGAAGAGAGATTTATGGTCAGCAAAACCATAACTCAGTATGTATAAGTCAGATTCTTTTAAGAACCTAAGAATATGGCACATGCCCTCACTCAGCTTTCTGTGGAGGCAGGTGAGAGGCAAATTTTATAATCCCCACCTTCCACAGAGTGCACAAGAGTCATCTGCCTGAAAGTAACAGCTCAGAGAAGAAAAGGCCTCCCTGCCCCCTCTCCCTCCTAAGAGAGCAAGCACTAGGCCGAGGAGAGGAGAGAGACGGACTCTCAGCCCAGCGCCACAGACAGGTCCAGGCCTTGAGGTCCTGGTCTCCAGAATCTGATTTAATAAAAGCAATGAACAAAGGGATCTAACGCCAGGAAATACGTTAAAAGATTAATGAAAATGCTATACTGTTACAAGCCAAATCTTATGACAAGAGTCCTTTCAG